AGTCACGAAAGTTAAGTCAAAATCTGTGGTATACTTTTAGTAACTCAAATGAGATGAGTATACTTTTCAGGCCAAGTTAAAACCAGTAGGAAACCATCACAGGCCACAGAAAAGCACTTTAAACCTGATGAAACAACTCCGTTATGGCCCAATCATTTAATATATTCCAAAGCAGAGGAGGCAAAGTTCCAGCGTAGCACAACAAGAACAAACTTCAATTACAAACAAACATTTACATGACAAATTTCACAGCAAGATTTCTGGAAAACAAAGTTATATTTTGCAATGCTGGTAATCCAACATTTTTTTGAAATCACGTTGGTATACCCCAATTGCCCAATTTACATGCTTATGGTGATTGAAATATGGAAAATTGATTTTAGAAACCAATTTTGTGAAACAAAAGATTTTAAGTAATATACAACTCATTAGTGGGCAAGCACATAAACCACACAATATAGCCATTACTTTAGTTGATACATTTTCAGTATCACAAGTTGTTGACATTGGGATGCTTGGCAGTGGCAGAGATGTCATGTTCACCACATTTATTATTTAAACCAAGAAGCTAGAAACCATCAAGGGCCAGCTTTCTCTGCCAGTCAATATGCGACGTTGTATGCAGACAACCTAGCCATTCACATGCTAATTGTGGCAATACACTTGTGGGCACACAGATACAATAGATAAGACTGAACAAAAACTAGACCTGGGCCACTCACCAAAGGCTGAGAAAGAATGGTTGTGTGCTCATTAAGTTTGCCACTACTCCCAGAATACGAAAGCCTGTCTAATTGCGACAAGGTGGATGGCAATTCGTTTTCTCCCTAGCCATTATGATACCCACGGCACATTAGTTCAGCGCCGGTCAATTTCCGTAGCTAATATTAATTAGGCACTAACAGTCCCATAGCTTTGGAGCAAACACATATTCAAATATCAAACATGGCAAACAATGCCATTCTGTGTGCAAAAGCTACCTGCCCACAAGATATAACAAAGACAAAGATACCGCAATGACCATAAAGGCTGTCGGGGCAAGTTCTGTAAGTGAGCAACTATGAGGGCCAGCCTAATACCCAGCTGCCTTCGTCTCCCCAATAGTGATGTTTACACACCACATCAGGTATCCATTTAAGGATGCATCAACCTAGGGGAGGCCCAGGACCGGAACAGGCTAACGCAACTGTTATTGATCGCGAGTGGGAATCAAACCCAGGTCACCCTGTTCATAGCAGAGTGCATGAACCACGACACTACTGCTCCCCCATGTTACACACAACCAAGATATTCATAAAGTAATTTTCTTGTTAGAGGAATGAAAAACTCAAGAGCAGATAAGTTGTGTGAATGCACACACAGGCTGGAGAGTACCCTCACTCATCGATTCCATTACGTGCAAAAAGAAGCATTAATAATTATACTTTACTGCCAAGGGTTAAATAATGAAATAATATACGTGTTTAATTTACTTGCAATATAGCAACGATGTTCCACAGTTGTAGCGAGTTCAACTAAGTCGCAGACGTACTCTTTGGAGGCAACATATTTATTGATATCAACACCAACACCAAGGGGTAAACTGCCCCTTCACCAGATAACAACCTATGGTGGTGGACCACCAGGCTAACGACACTAATTACACTGGGAGTAGTTACAACGGACAGGACCCCAGCTGGGGTCCAGGTCCACGTGTTGGTGACTCTTCTTGGACGTAGAACGTAGATTCTTCAGGATAACCACAGCAGCCGGTCCCTCTCGGGGACCCGGCTTATATCCTCTGCGGCGTGGCTGGCTCCGCCCTTAGCCACGACCACCTTCGATAACCCTCGAGCAGGATCTTGGCCCTGACACGTGACCACCCCTAGCCCCCACCTGGGGGCCCTGTGTAGACTTTACCGGTCACGTGTCCTTCAACCAGAGTGCCATGGCCCTTAGTAACCCCATTCCCATGGCCGGCACCCTGACACCCCATCCTGTAGGGGCCGGCACTGCACGCAGAGCGTGGTGCCATCCAGCACTGTCAGTCAGCGCTCACCGAGCCCCTTTAGGGCCAGTACTGCACCCACATACACGTGGTGCCCGCGATGTCAATACACCGCACGCCGTGTCTCTCTAGGGCTGGCATTACACAGTGACATCCGCGATGTCCCTACACAGTGAAGGAACAACCACCTGTCAGGATTCACCTCAACAGCAAACCACGAGGCTACACTGTATTCTACATAGTAATACATATAGATGGGGACCCATTTATAGATACTCCACTTAAAAATACCTGGGAAAATATATATTGAAAGAAACATTGTAATTCAAGGTCTCTATTTGTCACCCACCAATATCAAAACACTTATCAAAGTATTTAAACCTACCAATGTTTCCCTGCTTAAAGCTGGCCAAGATTCTATACAGCATTGTGACAGTGTTATTTGACACGTTTGAAATGAGCTCATGCATTTCACAATAACTGGCTTAAACAATTCTAAAAAAATCATGTTTTAATCAAAACTACCACGCTGGAGCTATGCCACAATTTCAGAATGTTTAAATAACATATTGCTGCCAGCTATGCCGTTTTTCAATTAAGGCAAATGCTAATTTCCACAGCACTATAAATAGACGTGTACTAGCAAACCGTTACTCGATAGAGACCGCTTTTTTCTCATTAACAGTCACAAGAAGTAATTATCCCTCCCCCATCAAAATGTACTTCAAGGAGAGCCACCACATGAATAATCTTTTTTTTAATGTGTGTCCAAGATCCAGCTGCAAAACTTTTATGGGCGACTGTCAGGAAAGAAATTCGTTTGGGCAAAAAAGTTATTCTCTGACAAAAAATCCAAACAGGGGGGTTTTCGTCAGTTTTTAGTTCAACAAACCTTGTGACATATGTTTTTATCTTGCATTGCTCAATCACTACTGTTGCCCATAAAACTAACTTTTGAAGCAGGAATATATGCGATTGGAAAAACATGCTTGGCAAACAATATTTGGTGTGCCTTTTGGAGCCGCATATGTGGTATATTTTAACTAGATTCACATTGGGATAATATTGGTTCTGGTGACAACGAGCAATGGAAATTGATGGCTTGTGTAAAATAATCAGTTAGTCATTACCTGCTTCAAAGCCATAAGTTATATTAAACTGAAACACGTGTGGGGGGCAGTGTATGATCAAATGACCTGGAACATTCCCAAACTCGTCAGATCTAGGATGGATATCAGGGTGAAGCCTGGATAATGCTTGTATGGGCAACCACTATGCACAAAACAGGTTGCTATAGGCTGTGGTGGGGTTACATGTCAGCAGAGGAAAGTGCAACAAAAAATCCATTGTTGCACTGCACTATGCTTCGACATATATGCTCTCCATGTCCACCAACCCACAAGTCGCCCAGAGTGGTCAAGTATGGTAAAATCATCCTCAGAAAGTGCATGGCATAAGGGAGGCTGTCATGCATCAGTGGATTGACAAAAATGGCTACTGTGCATGTACATTACAAAAAATGTGTTGTCAGGGAAAAAAGGTAGCAATAATTATAATCTATGTGAAAGTGAAAGAGCCAGTGACACGAGCTTGAGCAATGGCATTCTTCCGTACGGTGTTTCACCAGTGGCTATGACATGTGCTCATGATGGGCGTAAACAAGGTGGTGGGAGTCTCCCAGTTGGAACTGACATCATGCAAAGGCACAAAGGTACATGTGTGATGGAATTACCACGTTATTCAAGATCTCAAATGTTGGAATAGGACTACACAAAGATTGAATGACCGGAGAGTATTCGTATATAAACAATTTTAACATGAACCACTTCTGTTAATGATGACATGTTTTCTATAAGACACTGTCCACAAAAATGAGTCCATGGGTCTTCAAAATGGCAGTCAGCAAGCTTCTGTTGACGTGTAATTAATACTAATATTTTTTTATCTAATTGCTGATATGTTTTTAGGAGACATTGAATGCATATAAAGACACACTTGACCTTTCAATATACACTACAACTGAAAGACTAATTTCATTAGTCTAATCTACATATGCAAATTAAACTAATGAAGTCTGTATATGCAAATTAAGCCATCCCATTAATTTTACTTTAGCTGGTGTTGCATCCAAAATGTGTCTTAAGGCCAATCTTAAAAAAGATGCCAAGAACATCCTTGGCCAAATTATTTTTGTGAAAAACGGTGCAAGACTAAAATAGCATCATTAATATGCATATAGTAATTACTGCAGTGATAACGATTGAACAGTGAATTGTGTAGAATTTTTTGTACCCTCTAAATATGTATTTGATTCAACTTAAATCAAAGGGCGTTTAAGATAAACCAACCAACAAACATGCAAGCCTGGATCACATGCATACAAACTCATTTTGAGATACACATAAGCAAATTAACATATGTGCAGAGAGAAGCAGACGAGAAATCACAATCTGTATTCAAGACACATAACCAGAAACTCTCCACTTCCTTTGAAGCGGTGAAAAATCAAACTGTCTTAAAAATTAACATGTGCTTACCCAATAGTTACGTGCATTGAAAGGGAGTTTGCTGTGCATACTTCGTGCGTTTTTTTTTTATGTCTCATGTTGCCTGTGTAAATGACCGCTGTACCTTTACTGTTCATGTATAGCCATGGGAATGTGCGATGGCAACATGCATATGCAGTGCCTATGTATAATGCCTGAGTGAACAAAGCCCGGGTGTACGTAGTTCATGCGTGCACGTGTACTATTTATAAATAACCAAAGTCCATATGCTCGTTGCCTATAGACAGGGTGAACATGCAGACAGTGCAGCCTGAATGTGTTTGCACTCTGCTCATCAGCAATGCCATTATGCGTGTGCGGCATTCACGCGCTGAGACGCTGCCCGCATGCAAAGCAGTGTGCACGTGCCCGTGTCTGTGCGCTGCCAGTGAGAGCAAGTGCCCGAGCTCACAGCACTGGAATGGGAGTGCCTCGGGTGCCCTGCACGGACGTGATCATGTACGTACGCTGATGTGCTTGCTTTTGTTTGTGATGAATGCCCAACGGTGGATCTGGAGACGAGGAAACCCAACCCCATCGGCACAGCAGCGCACGCCAACACGTACTTGGAGATTCTGTCGAGGTTGGCGATCTGCTTCTGGTTGCGAATCACCTCGATGGCCTTCCATAGTTGCTGGACGACCTGAGGGTCCGACTGCCGCCGCTTGCTCAGCTGCACCATGCTGCCGCCCTGGAACAAAAGCCACAGCCAGATAAAAATGGCCGTCGCTGCCCACACGGCACGATGCAATTAGCCGCGTGTGAAATGAGAACGACTTTAGTTTTTTTTTTTGTCGTTGTCATTTCGGTAAATTGTACTCCAATCTACTAGGCACAAAAATATCATAAACTGAAAATAAGATTTAATCCCACTGAAAAATGGCATGGCACTATTAAAATAGGGTAAAGAACAGGAGCGCACACAGTAACAGAATTAAAGAGCAAAAGAAAATTGTCAGTGTATTTTTTTTATCTGACTTTCCTCAACAAGAGGAATATCTAAATTTGGCAGTTATTGGAGTCTCTGAAGATGCATGGGCTTTGCAGGATGAGCCATTCGCCTTTAATGCATTACTCTGTAATGCAAAACATGTAAATACAACTTGCATTGAGTATGCGAGACAAGATACAGACACAAGGGCAACAGTTGAGATGTAGCTCTTATGATTGGGGACTTTTAACAGAGCATTTGGTCACACTGTATAGACAACATTAACCACTATTAACAAGACCCATTTTTTATATTATCTACTGATAATATTCGTATACAAAGGAAGAAAGGTCGAAGGGTTTTTCTAACTCGCACTCCCCATTCTCTTATGCGTATTCAGCACTGCGTTTTATACCAAGTAAAACCACAAAAGTGTTTGCTTATTCAACATGTTTAAACAAGAAACAAATGTCTAAGTGACCTTTTAGAAAATCCCACACAATTGACACTTTATAACTGTTGGTTGCACAATGTCTAGAGTTCTCTAAAGCATCTTACACAAGCCTTTTACTTATAACAAATTTAAAAACCTCAAGGCTGCACATATTTTATCAGGTGAGGGACTGAGGTTTTAGTGATGGGGTTGGCATCTCACTTAAGATTAAGAGAGCAAATAATAAACCAAAGAAGTGCACACTGATATAATTGTGCTAATCACCAATGACAAAGCAGGCACAACGAAGCTATGTATCCCAGGTTAGTTGGTTGGGTGCTTTAGCAGTAAAGCATCATTGTTTGCAAGTGCAATGCAATGCAATAATCAACAGTTATTCATTCTTTGGGTCTTTCGGTAAAGTCACTTAGATGGTTCAAAGAAAATAACAAAAAACTACAATAATCAACAGTTTCAGTCCAGGCCCAACATCAGCCTTTCTCGAATGCATTGGGAGCACATTATACAGTGTAACAAAGCAGTGTCTACCTGCTCACTTGATAAAGGGCACATGGTGCCCTTGGCAAGATAAGCAATGGTGTTGGTTTCAGAGCCAAATTAACCACCTGGAAAGCTTTCATATTTCCGACACAATAAAATTACCATTAGGGAATAAGTATCAAAGTATTTGGCTTAATGTTGCAGCAGAATACATTTTAGCATGTTTTGCGTAGTATAACAAAATTGTGCCTTTTCTTTGCAATGAAATGGCTCCAAGAAGATGAACTGCAATAGTGGTCGTTTTTCTTGGTGCTGGAAGTCCAGGTTATGTGTAAATGATGTTGCTGAAGTAGTAATGGGTGCCGTTTAAGCAGTCAAGTAACCTCAGTCGGCAACACCACAAAATGTAACTACCTATACAAGACAAAAAAATAATAGTGCCGAGTGAAACTTCATCCCCACTAAAAATAAAGAATTCCATTGGTTACAGCTGCAATCTCTGTTACACATTTCCACATGTTCTGTTTTTGATTTGGGGAGAAGTAACAGCTGCTCCACCTCCAGTGGTGGACCTACACTGCTTTCTCTACCACCCTTTTTCCACATTACACACATCCACATCTCAGTCACTTCACAAACGATGACCACCAGCATACAAAAAAAATGTTTATATAGAGAACCGTTTGCATTGTTTCTGTAGAAATCTGACCCAGATTAAATAAGCGTTCATATAGGTTTTTTGGGGGATAGATCGTGTCAATATATAAATGTGTCGTTAAAACCCACCAACACCCGAAGGCCAACTAGTAAGGGTTTTGTCACCGTAAACAGAACATGCCAATTCGTCACTAGTACAGCACACCGGTGTGTTGGAGAGCCAAGCCACAACATTTACAATCCGAGTACGAAGTTTTGCCAGTAATTACAACTTTTAACGACACATTTATATAATTACGCGATCTAACCCAAAACACTTCTATTATAGATATTGGTCGCGAAAGCCTACGTGTTAAACTAAATAAGAGTTACAGTATTAAATTATTGATAAGTAGTAAACTTTTGACTTAAAACTTTCGTAACTGCAGGAATTCATATTCTTTGGTTCTTTCGATAAAGTCACGTAGATAGAAAAATAAAAAAAGTGAATACAAATAAAATAAAAAATTATAAAACAAAAAAACATTAATATAGACTGTAGCCTGGTTTTTAAGTTTGGTGAGTGTATTGGCATTCTATAATGTTGACTTATTCTTGGTTCTTTCAGTAATTAAAAAATAAAATATAAGTAGTAAACTGTGCATCATTCTCCATCCAACAGAAAATTGGAGCCCAAGTATTAACAAAAAACATTTTTCAAATTATTAATCTAGAAGCTTTGTACCTAGTTTTAGCCCAAGTCTGTATACTCAGTACAGCGTAGTCACTAAACACACGCTTATATTAATAACCCTTGAAAGAAACAGGACCATAAATGGCCAGGTCAGTACATTAAAAAACAAACAAGAAATAACACTAAACTACCAGCACCAAACTTTACAGTATACCAGGACCCCATTCCATCCAACAGCATTGCATCCAACAATGAATGTTTAATGCCTCGCCTGATACGCAGGTCGTGGGTTTGATCCCGACCCTGACGCCTGTATATTTGCAGTTTGCATGTTTTCACCATGGTCACGTGGATTTTTATCCGGGCCCTCTGGTTATTCTCTCCACATTTTTAAACATGATTTTAAAAGTATTTGGCTGCTATACATTTCCACATGATAAGCCACTTTATTAACTATCATTTGAGGCCAGGTTTCTTCTGAAAAAGAGCTCAGTGGGAAAAATAAAAATAGTTAAGTTTAGTTTCCTTTCATGATGAATGTTGATGTTCTGTAGGCTTTCCAACACTGGCTCAGAAGTGACAATGGGAGATGACCACCAACCTGCTGCTTGTTTGAGCGTGGAGAACCTTTGACTTTTTGATAAAACAGGCAGGACAATGAGATGTGTGAACACAATAATAGTGACGAAATAGCGCTCCGGTCCAGCAGAGATTTAACAGGAAAATGGAGCAGGTCTGCAGAGGAGGCAAGAATCAGACAAGGAAGCAAGCAGCTCGGATGACAAAGGCCAATGGTAGCAGTGAAGGGCTTATTGTGTCGGTGCCATAATGGAAGTTTTTCACAGGATCATTGCACGGGATTTGCACCAACAGGTATTGAAAGCAAAAAATGGGGGAAATCCTTAAGAAACTTATACCACAGCCTGTTCTACAATAGAAAAAACGTTCACATGTGTATACTGACAAAATTCCATGAGATAAAGGGACATTCAAGGTATTAAAATGCAGTATCATATTTACAATTGTGTTACTATTTAATGAAAAACGGTTGGGTATAAAAGAATTTAAAAAAGAAAACTTTTCCAAAGCCACAATAAAGCAGACCTCTTGCAGAATCAGGTTATTCTTAGCTCTGGTCGGAGCACATGGACAACAGCATTAATAATACATGTCATTTCCCATTAACAGAAAAGTAAATGTTCAGCAAGCACGCCAGAAGTGCTTCAACACCATGTGTGTTAAAATGTTTAAGCAGACGGTATCATGATTTCGGGACACCGCATAGCAGACTACCACAAACGACAACAAGACACGAAGGAGAAGAAAGCCTCTGCCGAGCAGGCTCCGATAGTGCTCTCTCAAGAGCAAATGAAAGTCAGGTGCACAATTAGTGGGGGAAGTGCAAGCCCTTTACACTGCCAAGCCAGACATGCCCGAGCGACAAATCGGGGCTATTCTTCGTGACCCCAGCAGTCATGTTAAAGAGCTATCCTGCATCTTATAATTGTAAGCCTTGCCATCTGATTAAAGTGGAACATATACAACACTGTACTTTGCCCTCCGCTGAACTGAAATTTATTATCCCACAATAATATATTAGGTTATATAGATTGCATATTAATATATTCAAATTAAGAGAAAAACTTAAATGAAAGCAGTAAAACAAATAAGCACTCCAAAAGAAAAAAAACATCATAAGGGGCTGTATTGCATGTTTTTATAGAGCAGTGATGGGCTCAGCACACACAGCCTCCATACGCTTCCCCACTGCAACTGACTTGTGAGTATTAAAGCACAATTCATCATTCTTGCCACAACATAGCTGGTCCGGGGTGCATATGGAAGATGTTTTTTGTCTGCTTTGTTGCACACGCTGGTTTGCGACATGTCTATTCCCTGAGCAGTGCCTTGGAATGAGGGAGCAAAGCGCAGTGCTTCTTGGCACAAAGATTCAAGAACAGCCAAGTGAAGTAAAAGAGAAGCGTTTCACCACATACACCAAAACCACTAATCAAGAAAGCACATCGCCATATTCCAGCTCTCTGGAAGGTCATGGCCAATGTATTTCAGTGTAGCACCTTGCACGTAAAACACACACACAATTAATTAAACCTCTAAACACCCTGTCTATACATGCAAGCTGACAAGGGTTTAATGTTTAAAACTTTAAGTGCATTGCATCACAATTGAGTATTTACATTCAAACGACTTCCTTTAAAAAAACATTGCAGATTTACCCTTACCTTGTATTCAGTATGTGCTGCATGGGGTGATACCATTACCTTAACCTTCACAAAGGCATCAGTCTAACAATGATTAAGCCACACAGATCAATAGATCCATTCAATAAGCATGTGGTCTGAAATTAACTCAATACTTTCTCAGGTCAACAGTGAGTTACATATCTTCATGGTAGCCCTTAATGAGCAAAGACATTATACCCAGTGTGATATCTGCATATTATGGTGATCAGCACAATAAATGTATGTACTGTAG